ATATTTGAGAAAGTTCCAAATAACCCTCCTCTCTAGTTCTTTGTTAGATGTTAGTGTTATAGGCAGAGTGATAACTTCGATATAGTCATGACTTGCTGTATTTTGTAAAACAGAGCTGAAGTGGTACTCCAGCAGAAGGAACAGTCTTTTACCATCGTTTTCCAGACTCAGGGAAACTAGGCAGTAATCATTCGATGCGAAATGACAAAATGATCAATACCAAATACCTTGTTTCTCGCAGGCAGTATAGCATAATGTTTAAGAGAGTGAGCTCTGGACTCAGACTGCCTGTGTTCAAATGCTGACTATGCTGCTTACTAGCTGTGTGACCCTGAGTACATTGCTTAATTTCTCTGTGCTTCCATTTCTCAAAATGGAGATATTCATGATACCTGCCTCACAGGATCCTTTTGACGATTAATCAAGATAACCTGGAAAGCACTGACTGACTCTTATTTATTGAGTCAGTCAGTGGCTGACTCTCAATAAATGGCAACTATTTATGTTATCATAATTTCTTCCTGCCTTTTTTTCCAGCAAAAGGGCTGCTTATAAAACAGGCTAGCCTCACATACAACCATTTGCGGAAGGTGGTGTGGTGATTCCTCAAGGATCTAGAAATAGAAATACCATTTGACCCAGCAATCCCATTACTGGGCATATACCCAAAGGATTATAAATTATTTTATTATAAAGACACATGCACACGTATGTTTATTGTGGCACTGTTTACAATAGCAAAGATCTGGAACCAAACCAAATGCCCATCAATGATAGACTAGATAAAGAAAATGTGGCACATATGCATCATGAAATACTATGCAGCCACAAAAAAAAGATGAGTTCATGTCGTTTGCAGGGACATGGATGAATCTGGAAACCATCATTCTCAGCAAATTGACACAAGAACAGAAAACCAAACACCACATGTTCTCACTCACAGGTGGGTGTTGAACAATGAGAACACATGGACACAGGGAGGGGAACATCACACACTGGGGTCTGTTGTAGGCTGGGGGGTTAGGGGAAGGATAACAGGGGGTGGAGAGATTGGTGAGAGAAAACACTGGAAGAAATACCTAATGTAGGTGACAGGGGGATGGAGGCAGCAAACCACCATGGTATGTGTATACCTATGTCATAATCCTGCAAGATCTGTACATGTACCCCAGAACTTAAAGAATAATAAATATATATATATATATATATATAAATTTTAAACCTATAGAAGTGAAATAGCTCAACACTTGCTTAAGAAAGATTTCAGGAAACATAGGATTGAAAATAAAATGGGCACATACCATCATTGAATAATTAATCTACACATACCAGGTAGTTTAATATACTGATAATTGAAGTCCAGTAAAGGCAAAATTCTGGAATACTGTTCCAGTTTGCACAATCCTTGGGAAGTGTTCCAGGACTCTAAATGCAGTCAGAGTAGAATGAACACTGAACTAAGAACTCAAGAAACAATATTCTTTTTTCTATATCTACCATTAACTTCTGTATGACCTTGATTAAACCACCTTACCTTTTGAAATCTTAGCCTAGGACAGAGGTATAATAACAATTCATGTACCACATCCTATACAAGGTTGTTGTGCACATAAAAGAGTATTGTGTGCAAAAGCTAAGTATATTACAAAATACTAAGCAAATTTGAGTTACTCATTATTATTATGCTTAGAATCTTTCTTTGCCTGAGTTGCCCCCTAAAAATGAACCTGACGCAAATGTTTAAAAGTGTGCATAATTTATCTGGAAACATTATTCCTGAAAGCAGGAAGAAGTCAAGGACAAGGGAAATGAAATAGGAAAGAAAGGAGGTCAGTGCAAGGATTTGCTACTGAGATGATCACTACTAGGGGATACTGGTTCCTTGATTTTCCAGAACCTTCCTGGACACCTATTATAGTGCATCTCTGCGCCATCCACTAGGGAAATAAAGAAGGAGCTCTTTATTTCTCAGTCTCTCTCTCCCATTGGTCATGGGTGGTACCATGGGGCATTGGCTCTTTTGCATTTGAGGGTTGTGGCTATTTCCATAGGGGGCCAACATCATGAGGTCAGATAGGTCCATGGCAAGAAGTGAGAGAGGAGCATTTGGATTGGCGCTACTTGAAGCTGGTCTAAGCCTCAAATTGTCAAAGTGGCTGGAATAAAGGGCCTGATATCATTTAAAGCGGTTAGTACACAAAGGATGTCCAGCAGAGCCCTACTGAGAGATCATAACCTCTATTATCCCTTTCTTGGGATAACAAAGGCAAGCATGGAGTTATTACAATTTGAAGGACAGCGTTCCAAATTATTTTTATTTCTTGTCTTGCAATCAAACAGATGGTAACCTATATCTTATTTTTTCCAGCACATCTCGAATGCAGAAAAACCTAAATCTTTTTTACCAAACCTCTGTTTGGTAAACCTTACTCCTTCCTCTTCCCACTGCTTTACTTACCCTAAAGCTACAAGATATAGCTCTAATGAAAAATCCACAATTCAAAGATTTTTCAAGAGAGCTCAAGCTGGCTCTGTGTATGTATGTAATGACATTTAAAAGAATACATAACTGGAAGGCTTGATGGCTGCATGGGCACAATCTCTTGTCTTCTCAACTGCAGAGGGAAGGTAATTCCACCATTTTGTACTGCCACGCTGATGCAGTCAGTCCTGATCCATAATCAGATAAGCAATGTACAAATTCACCTTTGGATGGCTTTCTTAGCCACATTTGAGGAGAAAAAGCTCAATGGACACTTTCACAAAGGAAAAAGAAATGCCAAATGCCTTTGGTGTCAGACACACAAGGATTTCATTCCTTGCCGTGGCACATGTGTTTGAGTGATCTTAAACCCTCTAAACTACACTTTCTCACCTGTAAAAAGAGAGTATTTGAAACCATGTCACAGAGTTATCAAGAAGATTCAAAATTAGAGATGATATGCATTCCCACCTAAAAGGATGCCTAGAAAATAGGAGGCATTCAATAAATAGCTGCTTTTATCATTATCACCATCATCATCATCGATAACACTACTAGTGTTATTAACCTATAAGTCTGTGAGGCTTCTTACAGAAAATGCTAGCTAATGTTTTCAGCTCAAAATTTGAAAGAAGTGACAAGTCAGAGAGAAGAGTCAGATCCACCAGAGACCCTCCACCTCAGTACCACTGCCTTATGTCTGTTAGAGTTTTTTCACCAACATCTGAACTCCTTTTCTGTAACTGAGAAATCTACCACTATATGAGAGAGGGTAGATCCATCTTCCAGCCTTAGAAACTAATCATTTTAGGCTTAGCCAATCAGATCCTTCTAACTAGGACTTTGAAGCTGGTGTGAGTAGCACCAGAATTACCTTCTTCGAATGCCCAGTGGTGGTAGTGGAAAGGACAGCATCCAGTGTCCAGCAGTGGCCAAGGGACAGGCCAAAGGATACTGAAAGGGACAGCATTCAGTGTCCAAAGGAAGTGACCAGGTGCCCAGGGTTGCAGCAACACATCCTTGACGGACTTTCCATGTGACATGACCTTGGCTATGATTCTAGCTATGCAGTTTCCCTTGCTTCTCATCTACTTTTTAAAACTTGTTGATCCAGGCTTTTCATCAGTTTTGTGAGTCATTTGATATCTTCCCAATATTTTTCTGTTTAAGTCAGCCAGAGTTTGTTTTCTCTTGCTTGCAGCTAAAAACCCCAGCTGGTCACTGGCTAACTGAAGCAGAAAGAGGATTTACTGCAAGGATATGAGGTAGCTCACAGAATCAAGGGAACGGCTGAGAACCAGATTCAGAAGGTCCAGGAGCCAGGGACTCCAAAGAAGCTGATGAAAAGCTCTGGTAGGGCAGAGCCGCAAAGCTAAATGAGCTAATAACACCTGGATTGCCTACCTTTGCTTAAAGACTCAAATTCACCAAAGAGGGTTCAATGGGCCAATTTGGATCTCATGCCTACCACCTAGCCAAGGGTCATAGGCACCTTGATGGAAAATCATGTCAAGGCAGCATAAATGACAAACAACTAATGCCCTAAAAGAAAGCAAGCATTATCAAGGAGGTAAAAATAGATGCAGAGTAACAAATAAGTAAGTATTTTTTTAATCCAGCAAATGTCCACAATACTGATTCAGGTATGTCTACCATAGGTTCAGGAGAAGATAATGGGTCCATTCCCCCTCTAAACAGTGCACCCCATGATTCTTCCCCACATTCCCTTTATACCTCTTTCTTCATTCCCATCTCCCCCCTTCACACCCTCCCATCCTTCAAATCCAGCCACATTCCACATCACCCATGAAGTCCTCCCAATGCATCTCCACTTCATCCATCCCTGCCCTTCCTCTGAACTTAGAAAGTATATTATCTACAAAATAGTATAGGTTTTCTCCTGTAAGATTTTTGTCTTGTCTTTTCATATTAAGTGTAAACTCCTTCAAGGAAAGGTAACTCCATGTATCCCCCACAGCACATAGAAATGTTTCCTGAATATCAATCATTTACAAATTATTTTATGAATTTCTACCATAGTTCAGTCTCATCTCTATAATTTTTCTTTAAACTTACCCTTTTTTCATTATGTATTTTAGCTGCATTCTAAGAAATTACCATCGTAAAATAAATTACAAGTTTAATATAGTTATACATTTTTGCAATATCATCAATACCCTGTTAATAAATAATGTTCAACCTTGCAATATGTTGAGAGAGAGAAAGATAAAAACCATGTGTCTTGAAACATTGACCAAGTACTTTGCCAAGCATACAAACTTACAAAATGGAAAATAGGTGAATAAATGAGTGAGTCAATCAATCACCCTGAGATTGACCCACTGACTCTAATTAAAGAACTCAGCTGAGAGATACTGGGTCTCAGGTTGACTTCTGAAATTCCTTCTTAGCTAGTTAATTATTGCTCATTAAATAAACTGATCAATCAATCAGTCAATACCATGCCTATATCTCTTTTTTTTTTTAATGTCTGAAAATGTCTTTATTCTACCCACAGACTACACCCATGCCTACATCTGAATCAAACTAAAAGGAAAGATGGAACTGGCCTCTGAAATTCCTGACTTTGTCACACAGAGAAAGCGTGTTCTGAAAGAAAGGCACATTTGTAACCCCCAGACAACAGTTTAAGAGCACGTTCTTTGGCTGCATCTATAGTTGCATAAACATCCTTCCCCTCATGGTCCATTAGCTTCCAGGAAATGAGCGAAGGATCTGGCAACTGTCTTTCACTTGATCTTTGCTTCTCTCAAATGAAGGTAAGTGCTTTTAGGCTGAGCGCTAATGGAATTGAAATTCATCTCTGCTTTGCTGATTTTAGTTAACATCCCTTAACCCTCCCAAATCCAACCACTGCCTGAGCTCCGGGCAGAGCATTTATATGAGAGAAGGAGAGTGGCAGTAAAGAACAAAAAGGGCATTCGGATTTATTTCTTCCCTCACAATGCATTCCCTGTCTTGTATACACCAAGTCTCAGTGCTAAATTTAAATGGCCCATTTTTTTTCTTTTGCTCACAATGTATCTTTAGTTAGAGCCAGACCCAAAAGTTATATGTTTTGGAAGAATGGAAATATCATAACTATTAGAATCAGAAAAACCTCAAATTTTAAGGTTCATTTTGTCATTTACTTTTTGCAGGAACTTCAGTAAATGAACTTATATGTGCTTCAATTTTTGTTCCAGGAAAGAAGCATCACAAGACATATAGTCAGTCACCCGGCCTCTTCCAATATGAAAACCTCATATGAAATATGGGGATTTTCCTTCTTTATTTTAGTTTTATTAATAGTGACAGAGCCCATTCAAGAGAGAAAGACAACCCACTCCTTCCCCCAACTCTTCCCCATCCTCTCTGGGAAGAAATAAATATTTTCCACCAGGGGAGATGAGAAAAGCCCTGGGCTTTTTGCTGCTATTGCTTAGTGAAGGTTTCATCCCAGGTGCTGATTTAGGGTGTTCACAGTTGTGCATAAAATTGGAAGAGAGAGACTCTGTGTGTGTTTTTAAAGCTGGAGGATGATGAGGATTTGGAGGGAGGTGAGGGAGGAAACACACTTGATCTGGCATGGTTTTCTGTAGTTTGACCTGACACTGGGCAGGTTTTCAATAAGCATTTCCTTCATTCCCACTGCACACCCCAATGAATATGCTGCAAAGGTGCAAGGGGTGTGGTCTGCGAGCCCAGGAACAACATTGAACAAAAGTCTTTGCCAGGCAACTGCCTCGCTTTTACTCAACAGAGAACTTCTTGTTATGGGCACTCAAGTCCTACCAACAAAACCAGTCTCTAAGTAGGAGAAACTGTGTCCATCCAGAGCAGCCCCTTGCCTGGTGACCACTCAATAGGAATGATGAATGACTTTCTACAAAAATTTAACCCATTGGTGTCCAGATATCCTATGCAGGTGGCTCCCCACAAAGTCCTAACACAGGCATACCTCATTTTATTGTGCTCCACTTTATTGTGCTTTGCAGATACTGCATTTTTTACAGATTGAATGTCTGTGGCAACCCTGTGTCAAGCAAGTCTATTGGCAATTTTCCAACAGCCTGCACTCATTTCATATCTCTGTGTATTTTCAGGATATTTCAAATGTTTTCATTATTATTATGTGGTTATATCTGTTACGGTGCTCTATAATCAGTGATCTTTGATTATACCCAAGAGCTCTGATGAAACTATTGTAATTGTTTTGAGGCATCGCAAACTACACCCAGGTAAGATGGCAAATGTAATCGAACGGTGTGTGTGTTCTGACTGTTCCATCAGCCAACTGTTCCCATTTCTCTCACTCTTCTCAGCCTCTCTACTCCTGAGATACAATAATATTGAAGTTAGGCCAGTTAATAACCCTAAGATACCCTCTAAGTGTTCCAGTGAAAGGAAGAGCTGCATGTCTCTCACTTTAAATCAAAAGCTAGAAATGATTAAGCTTAGTGATGAAGACATGTTGAAGCCAAGATTGGACAGAAGGTAGGCCTCTTGCACCAAACAGTTAGCCAAGTCATGAATGCAAAAAAAAAAAAATTAAAAGTGCTACTCCAGTGACCACACAGAAGATAAGAAAGCAAAATTGTCCTATTGCTGATATGGAGAAAGTTTTAATGGTCTGAATAGAGCAAACCACCTTCAACATTCCCTTAAGACAAAGACTAATCCAGGGCAGGTCCTAACTTTCTTTAATTCTATAAAGGCTGAGAGAGATGAGGGAGCTGCAGAAGCAAAGTTTGAAGCTAGCAGAGGTTGGTTCATGAGGTTTAAGGAAAGAAGCCATCTCTATAAAACAAAAGTGTGAGGTCCAAAGCAGCAAGTGATGACGTAGAAACTGCAGCAGGTTACGCAGAAGATCTAGCAAATATCATTGACAAAAGTGGTTCCATTAAGTGACATATTTTTAGTATAGATAAAACAGTTTTCTATCAGAAGAAGATGCCCTTTAGGACTTTCATAGCTAGTGAGAAATCAATGCCTAGCTTCAAAACTTCAAAGACAGGTGGACTCCCTTGTTAGGGGCCAATGCAGCTGATGACTTTAAATTGAAGTCAGTGCTTATTTTTCATTCCAACAATCCTAGAGACCTTAAGAGTTATACTAAATCTACTCTGCCTGTGCTCTGTAAATGCAACGACAAAACCTGGATGACAGCGCATCTGTTTATAGCATGGTTTACGAATATTTTAATCCCCCTGTTGAGACTAACTGCCCAGAAAAAAAAAAGATTTCATTCAAAATATTGCTGCTAGTTGACAACACACCTAGTCACCCAAGAGATCTGATGACGATGTACAAGAAGATTAATGTTGTTTTCATGCCTGCTAACACAACATGCATTCTGCAACCCATGGATAAAGGAGCCATTTCAACTTTCACGTCTTATTATTTAAGAAATACATTACATAAGGCTACATCTAGTGTAGACAGTGAGTCATCTGATGGATTTTGGCAAAGTAATTGAAAATCTTCTGGAAAGAGTTCACCATTCTAGATGCCTTAAAAACATTTACAACTTATGGTAGAAGGTCAAAATACCAACATTAACAAGAGTTTGGAAAAAGTTAATTTCAGCCTTCGTAGATGACTCTCAGAGGTTCAAGATTTCAGTGGAGGAAGTAATTGCAGATATAGGGGAAATATCAAGAGAACTAAAATTAGAATTAGAGCCTGAAGATATGACTGAGTTGCTGCAATATCAGAATCCAACTTTAATGGATGAGGAGTTGCTCCTTGTGGGAGAGCAAAGAAAGTGGTTTCTTGAGATGGAAGCTACTCCTGGTGAAGATATTGTGAATATTGTTGAAAGGACAACAAAGGATTTAGAATATTATGTAAACTTAGTTAATAAAGTATCAGCAGGGTTTGAGAGGATTGACTCCAATTTTGAAAGAAGTTCTACCTTGGGGAAAATGCTATCAAACAGCATTGCATGCTACAGAGAAATTCATTGTGAAATGAAGCATCAATTGATACAGCAAACTTTAGTGTTGTCTTATTTTAAGAAATTGTCACAGCCGCCCCAAACTTCAGCAGCAACCACCCTGGTCAGTCAGCAGCCATCAACATCGCAGCAAAATCCTCCACCAGCGAAAAGATTAGGACTTGCTGAAGACTTAGATGATCATTAGCATTTTTTAGCAACAAAGCATTTTTTAACCTTTTATTGGTACATAATAGTTGTGCTTATTTATCAGGCACATGTAATATTTTGATATATGCATACAATTGTATAATGATCAAATCAGGGTATTTAGGATAGTCATCATCTCAAATATTTAACATTTTTTTGTGTTGGGAGCATTTCAGATCTTCCCTTATAGCTGTTCGGAAAAACGTAATAAATTATTGCTAACTATAGTCACCCTACTGCACTAGAACACATTACATCTATCTAACTGTATGTTTGTGTCCATTTACCAACCTTTCTTCATTCTCCCATCCCCTTCCTAGCCTTTGGTAATATTGTTCTACTCTCTGCTTTTATGAGATCACCATTTTAAGCTTCCACAAATGAATAGGAACGTGCAATATTTGTCTTTCTCTGCCTGGCCTATTCCATTTAACATAATGACTTCCAGTTTCATCCATGTTGCCGCAAATGATAGGATCTCATTCGTTTTATGGCTGACAAGTATCTCATTGTGTATATATACACCTCATTTTCTTTATCCATTTATCCTTTGATGGACACTTAGATTGATTCCATATCTCGGTTGTTATGAATAGTGCTGCAATAACATGGCATTAACCTCATGTAGCATAATGCTTACTAACCATTCCCATAATTCAGGCAAGTTTTACTTCTAGAATAGTTGGCTGTAAAGTAATATCTCAAAGATGCTGTGGATACAGTTTCAGAATATTCACTCCTGTGATAACTATAGCTGGCTTTTCTCCAACCAAGTATATTATCTCCAAGTATATATATATATTATTTCCAAGTATATTGTGGATATACTTCCATGTAGTATCGACTACATGAGGGTGGAGGGTATCTCTTTGAAAGATTGATTTATTTTCCTTTGCATAAATACTCTGTAATAGGATTGCCAGATGGCATGGTAGATCTCTCTTTTTTTTTTTTAGATTTTGTGAGCTCTCCATAACTTTTTGCATGATAGTTCTACTAATTTTCATCTCCACTAACAGTGTATAATAGTTCCTATTTCTCCACAACCTCATCAGTATTTGTTATTTTTGTCTTTTTGTTCTCATTGTGGCTTTGATTTTCATTCTCCCGATAATTAGTATTTTGAGTGTTTTTTTATATACCTGTTGGCCATTTGTATGTCTTCTTTTGAGAACTGTCTATTCAGATCCTTTGCCCACTTTTTAATAAAAGCAAAGTATTTCCTAATTAAGGTGTATGCATTGGGTTTTTTAGACAGAATGCTATCAAAAACTTGGTAGACTACAGTATAGTGTAAACATAACTTTTATATGCACTGGGACAACAAAAAATGTGTGTGACTTGCTTCGCTGCAATATTCACTTTATTATCGTGGTCTGGAACTGAATCCACAGTATCTCTGAGATATCACTGTACAGCCAGCTGTTCTAAAAGGAAAACTTGCCTGAGTTATGGGAATGGTTAGTAAACATTATGCTACATGAGGTTAATGTCAAGTGTCTCACAAGGTCTTTTAAGATTTAAATAAGCTAATGAATAAAGAGTACTGCATCTGTTTGCTCGTTCATCTTCTTCCTTTTACTTGCACATTGATCCTACCCTGAGTTTTGCCATGGCTAAGGAAACTATTTAATTCAACAGACCTATACCCCAATATTAAGTGATTCCATCTATAAGTAAATCAATACATGTTTCTCTTTTAATTGCAGAAAAGCCAACCATAGTCCCAGGAGTGAAACTTCAGTGTGGTTTGTTTACAACGTTGAAAGCAAAATATGCCCAAAGCACCCTTTTTTCATTTTCCATCCTTTTATTAGGATATATTAGCAACACTTGAAACTGTGTTGACATTAGCACTGAGAGCATATTTAAGAAAGAAAAAGGGAACTATGTTTAAATATTCATCGAAATCTTCCCAACCTACCCCTGGCTTTCTTCACTTTCATGAGGTTGAGGGAAATATCGGAGTTTCAGGGATGGCTCAAACAAGAAAAGCTGCACCACAGACTCTGGAAATTTCTGAATTTAATATTTGAGGACAATACAGAAGGTCCAGAATATGAAGTAACTCTTAAAGCCATTCAGCAAGAGTCTGAATCGTGGGTCACAAAGCTGGTGTCCTGGAGCAAGTCATTCAGTGGGTGAGTTTAATTGATCATCTAGCCTCTCCAGGATATAATTGCTATTCTGTATTCAGTGACTTTCATGGAGTTATAAAAGAAAATTGTTGCTTGGTGACAAGAAAACCAACTCCTAGTTCTGATATTGGAATAAGAAAGCAATGACTTATTCAGAAAATATAACTTGTGGATACATTAAAGAATAGGGAATGCATAGGGATAGCTGGTATCAATTACAAACCAGAACCTCAGGTATGCTAGAAATGTGATTGTAAACTTAAGTTCTATTTCAATCCTCCATTCCAACTAGTGATAAATGCTTAATTTCATAATATTTTCAGTATATTGGGTTAAGTAAAAATATATTATTAAAATTAATTTCACCCATCTCTTTTTATATTTTTAATGTGCTAGAAAATTTAAAATTACATATGTGATTCATATTATATTTCTATTGGACAGTTCTGGTCTACGTTATTTAGAATACTTTATTGCTAGAGTACTCAAATTATTCAGTGGACTTTAAAAACTGGTGAGCTGTAAGATGTTTTAGTTAATGTCATTTTTTTTTCTTGAGACAGAGTCTTGCTCAGTCACCCAGGCTGGAGTGCAGTAGTTTGATCATAGCTCACTAATCGTAAACTCAAGCAATCCTCCTGCCTCAGCGTCCCCAGTAACTGGGATCACAGGCATGTATCACCACAGTCAGCTATTTTTTTAATTTTTTATATAGATGAGGTCTTACTAATGTTAACCAGGTTGGTCTGGAACTTCTGGACTCAAGTAATCCTCCTCCTGCCTGAGCTTTCCAAAGGGCTGGGATTACAGATGTGAGCCACACTCTGGCATATGTCAGATATTAAAAAACAAAATCAGGCTAGGTGCAGTGGCTCACACCTGTAATCCCAGCACTTTGGGAGGCCAAGGTGGGTAGATCACTTGAGGCCAGGAGTTTAAGAACAGCCTGGCCAACATGGCGAAACCCTGTCTCTACTAATAATACAAAACAATTAACCAAGCATGGTGGTACACACCTGTAATCCCAGCTACTCAGGAGGCTGAGACATGAGAGACATTTGAACCTGAGAGGCGGAGGTTGCAGTGAGTTGAAACTGGTGCACTCCAGCCTGGGAGACAGAGCAAGATTCTGTCTCAAAAATAAAAAAAAAATACATTTAAAAACTTAATTTCAACTAGTTTGGCTATGTGCCAATCCCTATCCATCTATGATATACACATCCTCTTTTCTAGAGATTATGTGTAAATTCCAGAAGATTTTCATGGCGCCAAAGCTTTGGGCAACCAGTCTTTGCTTGTCATACAGTCATGCAAGTATGCACGGTGACCATCCATCATTCCAGGTGACCCTCAGCCCTTAATCCAGTGGGTCATTGCTAGGTTATAACCATTTGATGGCTTCTTTAGGTATGTCTCTTTGTGTTACATCTATGCGATGGCCAATGCCATAGGAAATATTCCCGCGGAATATGAGTACGTTGTAAGGCTAGCTAAAGCCCAGCTACCTTCTAGACAATTATACAAATATTTGCTCCCATGACATGCTGAAGTCTTGCCGCCTTTTATAGTTCTATCCAGAAAAGTAGATTACAGTAAGTTGCATGATTGGTCCAATTCTTTGTATCTTTCTGTACACACACCTTTTGCCATATGACTTTGCAGTTCCTCCCACTAAAGGGATAGATTGTTTTCTCTGTCTCTTGACTTTGAACTTTGCCACATGATTTGCCTTCGCTAATCAAATGAGGTTAAAGAAACAGTGTGCCAGCTCCACGCATAGGCCTTGAGAGGCTTTGCATTTTTCCATTCACTCTCTTGCACCTCTGCTATAGATAAAAGAAGCATATGCCCAGGCTATATCACTGGTCTTAGAAGGATCAGAAACACGTGGAGCAGAGCCAAGCTTCTCTAGTGAGTCCAAGCTAAATCATCTGATCGCCAGCCAACACAGAGAC